GCGCAAATTTAAGTTGGCTATCTAAGTCCATATTGAGGTTCCTAAATAAAAATAGCAAGATTTTCAAAGGCACTGAACACCTGCAGCTCCAGATGACTATAACGAGACTTGTATGTGCTCAGCACTCAGAAAATTGACCCAGTGGGATTTAGGAGCCTAATTTTAGAGACTTTTAAAAAGACTGACCCTATACCATAGCCATTCTTATTTAATACAGTGAAGGATCAAACAGTGTTTCTGGGATTTATAGGTCTGATGTGGAGATTTGGCTTGTGGATTAAACCTGGCATACAAGGGCTAACTTTGAAGTGACTGAAACTTTTAAAACCAATATAATATTTTAATTGGTAGTTTATTTTTATGTATTAATAAAAATGGAGACGTTCAGATATTGAGGCCCTGATCCTGCAAATTGCCCTGCACAGGCAGATCCTTGCAGTTGTTTGGTGCTCCCTTGATTTCCGTGGGCCTGTGAGTGTACACAGCGATTGGTCCATGTACACAGTGATTGGTCCATTTCAGCTTTAGTTTGCTTTTTGCATCTTTAAATTCCAAAACTGAAATTACTTCATAAATTCTCAGTTGTGCAACCCTCACTTATGTGGTAGTATTGTGTCTGCAGCAAGTGCAAGATATGGATGCTTAAAAATATGAAGCTCTCTTGGGTTTTTACATAATGCCTATTGCTGTGGTATCCAGGTGCTGCACAAAATTAAAGCCCAGCTCATGTGGTTTTTTTTCTCACCTCCTTCCTCCTCCAGAGTATTTTGATTACAGCATAGATACCCACTGTACTCTTTTTTTCTAATTAAATTGTATGCCTTTGTACCTATGTGCCTGCATGCAGTGAATGCACTTTAAAAGCATGTATGAATAACTGTTACATAAAAGACAAGCCTGTCACTTGATTAGCTTAAGAGAACTAAATGATGAATCAGCTAGGGTTCAATGGTTCCCCCAGTTGTAGTAGTGCAAAGGGGACCTTCTATGTGGAAAACTCCTGTTTTGTAACCAGCTTTGCGATGGATTTGCTGTCCATTCCCAAGGCCGCCTCCATGGGTCTGAAATGTGCAGCTGGCTATGGGATGAGCCAAAATAGGAAAGATTTGGGCATGCATCATCCCACCCATTTCTCTTTCTCTCACTCACTCACTCACACACACACCCCCTCAGACACCAGCAGAAAAGCTAGAGGAAAGTTAATGCAGCCTCAGACTGCTTGAATTGTTCAGCCTCCATATCTATGATGGGAAATTCCTGGGCAGATGGAGATTCCAGAGGCAACAGCAGCTCAAGGGAATCCTGGCAGCCTATCTCCAATGGAGCTTCACTGCTAGTGGGCTAACGGGGCACTGAGAGTCCCAGAGCTGGTGATGAGCCTCTTTATGACCAGCCCTGGCCTCTGTATATTCTAGGATATCCACAGCGCTTGAGGGCAGTCCTCGGTTGGGAGAAACTGCCCTCCCCTGATGGAATGGTTCAGAGAATATCCTATGATGGTAGTTGTCTTCTCACCAGGGTTGCCTCCCCTGGATATTTCTATACGAGAGGGCAATCCAGGCCTAAACTTGCAAATGTCTCTGTTGGGCCAGAAGTCTGTGAAGCTGTGCTGATTTACACTAGCTGAGGATCTGGCTCAGCCAGGCTGAGAAATACGTTAACCAGCTAGATGACATGTATAAACAATGGATCCAACATTACTGTATACTGAAGAGGATTATTCTGGGGTTTAGCATAACAGATAGCTAAGGTACAGGATGGAAAAAGATATTGTTTCAATGCAGTGCCTTATAATAGAAATGATATGGCCCATGGAAACTCTCTTGATTTTTCAGCAGGAGAATGGCAGTTCTATACCTGCCAACAATTCAGTGTGGCTTGTTTGAGGATTCCCCCCACTCCCCATTACATTATCTAAGCAATAATCTGAGTTGCTCATCGGAACAGTTATTCTTTGTTTGACTTATTGGTCCATTTGACTGAATTATTCACATCTATGTTGCTAAACAAGAACCAAGATTCTATTTAGATCACAAATGTTTCTGTGGTTCTTTCAGTGGCCATACAAGACTGGATGTCCATGTATTTCTTATGTAAGATGCACCTGCTTTGGACTTGCCTGCATGCCTATTTGCAGCTCAATTGTATGCCAGTTTTACATAGTTAAGCTACACTAAACATTCATGCTGTGCGTTCCCCAGAGAACATTTGTCTTCCATTTTAAATTGTCTGAAATTGTAGCTGAAGTACAACAGCCAAGATATAAACTTGTTTTAGTAAATAAGGTTTTGAGAATGAAAGACTTTATTAAGATAAAATAGAAATCAAAATGTAAATCTTTTGAAAGAATAGCTATAAAAAGCAATTTGAAGTTTCATTTTGAATGCAAATTGGACAACTCCTTTGCTAGGGACAGTGGTAAGAAGAAATCTTCTTCCTACATTCAAATATGTGCAAATATGAAGGCTAAATCCTCAGCTGAAATAAATTGGTGGTAGCTATTCTGTCAGCTCCTCAGCTCATATGAACTGGTACAGCTCCATTGAGGTCGATGGAGCTATACCAATTTATACCACCTGAGGATTTGGCCATTTGTCTTCAAATACATAATGCCATTGGACAGAAAGGTAGAAGTGGCATATCAGTAGGAAGTGTTTAACTGAAATTCCTACAGTAGATTATTAAAAAAAATAAAATGATATAAGTTATTACCATCAGCCATCCAACAATGGAACTCTCCTTAGCAATAGCAAAGTCTATGTGAGATGTCCTGAGAAGTCTTTAGTAACAATGGGTGTACTTAAAATAACATCTATCTGTCATCTTCCACCATTGAGGTAACTGAGGATCTTATAAAGAAATCTTAACAAAAATAGGCCAATGATCAAATTTCCTACCATCTTCCACTGAAGTAATTGTGATTATGTTTTAATGGCATAGGTGCAGGGCAGTCAAAGGAATTAAACAATTCAATATTCATCCCATTGGTAAAAGTACTGTATAAGATTACACAAACCAGCCTCAGTAATGCAGAATTGGTTTGGTAGTTTTAGCCAAACATAGAAAATGCACTATCCCAGAGCTTTTATATTACCGACACCAAGGAGTGGGGCTTTCACAAGTATACACAGAGGGTGCTAGAAATGCAGATGTAACCAAGTGCTTTGCTGGAAATTTTGCATGATGCTGCTTTCTCACAATAGCTGTGAAGAAACTATATGGTAGATGCTGCTGCTCCTGTCTTTGAGATAAAATATTTTTCTAAATGGTGTAAAATATATTGATAAACATTTTAAAGAGAACTGCAAACACAAGGGTTTATACTCTCATTGATGCCTGCATGGAGGTTTTTTTTTGTAGCTCTCATTAGCATTGATGGGAGTTACCATATAAATCCCTTCATGGATTGATGGGAGAATAGACCTCATTGTTTAGGATTCCTATTTTCTGGGCATAACAATGCTTTAAATGGAAATGCAATTCTGTATGGTCTAAGATGCACTAATCTCAACTAAAAGCAAAACCATGCTTTGTGTCGCTAATGAGCCTTGGAAATACTGAGTTGAGACAGATTGGCTGTTTCCTAGAGGGCCCATTAAAATCTATAGGATTTTTGCCATTGACTTCAATGACTGCAGGATTGGGGCCTAATTTAATCCAGTATAATTGGCTAGATTTGCACATATGTAATATATTGATATATATCTGTTTTAGACATATCTATTTTATGTAAAGGAACAGAAGTTTTTTGTGCATCTTTAAATATTCTAAAAAAGAATAGACATTTGTATACAGAACTGCACTACTGCTTTAATAATGCTATGTAAAACAATACTGTGGTTTTGCTATTTTTATTCAATTACATTTTTCAGTTCAAAAGCATGTTTTAAAATATCAGAAAATATTTTAAATGGTGTTAAAGAAACAGTATCCTCCCCTCTCAGATTGCATCCATTCCACCCTTCAAATACAAGAATTTTGTAATCTACTTTTTTTTCAGTAATGTGGTTTGGCTATTTAGATTTTTCTTTTGTAGCACTTAAATGTTACGCTGAGGGCCTGTTCCAAAGTTGATGGAAATCCTTCCACTGACTTCAATGGGCTTTGGAACAGAACTTTGGGGAGTTCTTCTTCTTTTTCTCTCCTGTTTTACACCGATGTAACTAGTGTAAGTGAAATCAGAATCACATCCTGTGACGCTAGACAACCAAGAACTGTAAGTTTCAGGCTCTTCTAGTAAGATCACATAAGGTCCCAGTCAGTGCTACTTAATGTAACTGACAGTCCATTTTATTTGCAAATATTTGAACTGGGAAACACAAATCTGGTGTTTGCTTTTTATTTTGTTTTAGGTTATTTGATTACATATGTTAGTAAGAGTAGAAAAGGTTGCTAAGTATTAGCTTTAATTCAGATGGACAATCAAAACTGAAACACTGTAAAGATGACCAGCAATTTATATGCCAGCATCTTTATTGGTGACAGCTGTTCCGATATGTAAAGTGCACATTATTTGAATTACACAAAAGTTAGTATCCAGATGCTAACTCTTTATGTTGGCTATATGGGAAAATCTAAACGAGCTTGTATATTTAAATGACCGGATACTGTCTCTTTAATAAAACCGTGATTATGTTGTATTATTGAAAACACTGAACTTGAACCCTGAAATAAGATAATTTTTACAGCTGGGTGAAGTGGCTATTATTCTTTGCCAAGCTCATTGACTGACTGAATAAGAATAGCATAACATCATTAATTGTAATCACTTTTATATCACATAATGTATTTATTAAATCTCATAACAAAATAGAAAGGTGATTCTATTTTTAAATATGTTCCAGAATTTTTTTTTATTTCAGAGAAGCTTTGACTGTTAAATGTGTGTAAGTCTCCAGGAATGTAGCAAGTTGATAAAAACCCAAGCCAAGTCCATCTTCCTTACAGGAAAAAAAAAAAAAAAAAGCTGGAATTTCTTTTTTTGGACATTTGTTTTGCAGCTTTCTACGTCTTAAGGCAGAGAATAGCCAGAATAAGGTGCCAGCCCAAAGGTTAGCTGAACATATTTCTTGAAATAATTTTGGCAAGCCTATGTCTTAGTGGCATGGTCTCAAAATCAGAAGTTTACATGAGAAGTATAAAGAAGCTTTTTAATAGATATTTTAAAATTTATTTATTTTTATTTATTTTGAGGGGGTGGGAGGAAATTTATAGAGAGATGACTGTTTTAACCACAAATCTAATGACAGATGTAAATTTAGTATTTAAATAATCATGGGCTTTTGTTCAAGGTCCAAGCAATGTTTTTCCTGTCTGGAAATCTAATGTACTTTCAATGCCACATTTACAATCTGATGAATTCAAGAGGCCTGATTCTGCTCTCACCTACGTCACTGTGAATAAGGAGTAACTTCACTGAAGCCAATGGGTGTTAAATTTGTGTAAATCAGATCAGAATCAGATCCCAGTTCTCTAGTGTAACCAAACATGATGGTACTCACACTAACCTACCTTTATCAGGAATTTAAAATTCAATGATTATTGAATCTGTGAAAAATTCAGGTAACAAATGTTTAAAAACAAACATTTGTGTCGGTAAAGAGCACTCTTATAAAATATTGTTGTGAAGTGACTAAAGCCACTTAACATGTAAACTGGAAAATTTGCCCCAAAATTAAATAAACGATTATTACTTTTTCGGGGGGAAATTTTCACTTGGTTTCTAAGGAAAACATTTAAGCACATACTTAACTTTAACCATATGCTTAAGTCCCATTGATTTCAGTGGGGACATTAGCATGTGCTTAAAGTTAAGTATATGCCTAAGTGCTTTGCTGAACAGGGATTGGAGTGTGAATGTACATGTGCATTGTAGGACCCTGCAAATAGCTATAATCAAACATAGAGTTTATTACCTCAGATAGTCTCATTGTTCGTCATATATTATGTTGATGTGCAATTGCCACATGTGTATGTGCAAACTGAATAGTCCTGATTTACTTGTACAAATGTAGTAGTTGTGCATCTAACATTTAGAGACTTACGCTTAACTTTAATGTTGACATTGTGCCTCCTGAATGCTATAGGTAAGTGTAAATGGTTTTTGAAAGATGTTTTAAATGAGTCTTTAGAAAAAGCATGCATATATATGTAATATTTTATATAATACATATTAAGGAGCTGGCGGGTGGGGTCAGGGGGCGGAGAGGAGCCCTTGGCTGGCTGAGAGGAGCAAGTGGTGGGCAGGGGAGAGCCAGTGGGCTGGCGGGGTCTCGGGGCGCAGTGCAAGTGGAGCAGGTCGGGGCCCCTTCTGAGCATGGGCCCAGCTCCATGGCGCCACAGGTGCCATTGTAATTCCAGTACTGCCTAGAAATTGTACGTTTGTACTTCTAATTCTGTTCTTTAGAAAATAACATAATTCTGTACTGTATGTTATGATTATAGTATATTGTAAATGTATTCCTTGGGTAAAACATATTTTTATAATCCAATCTATTGTATAGTAGGTTAGACATTATTTTATATACATTTGGGCAGTAAAACGGCATTGAAAAAGCTGATCTGGTCCATTTTATAAGGTAGATTAACTAGGTCAAAATTGATGTGGATAAAGTAGATTGCTAAAGTTTTACTGTGTGTGTGTGAAAATAATGTACTGTTATTTGTACCTGTAAATATGCTAGGAAGGTGATGGGGCATAGTTTCCAAGCTTCAGGGAGAAGACATTGGTTGTTTTTAGAGAGAGATAAGGAGTCATTAACCAGACGGAATAGTCAGTTGGTCACAGCGTAACAGGGATCCTGTTTCAAGATTCCTGTATGTGAACAGGTTTGTTTCCCTCAATGTAGAAGTTTGGCATTGGGGGAATGAGGGAATGGGCAGGAGAAGGAGATTCAATGGAAGCATTGGAAAGTATGTGGGGGATTTGAAGATTAGGAGAGAGATTTTGTTCTGTATTCTGAAGTGAACAGGCATTCAATACAGGTATCTGAGACTGAGTGATGTTACTATCTCCAGGCAGGTGCATACATGAGCAGCTGCATTTGTACAAATTGAATTTCAAAAAATTGCGTTTTAGGGGGACCATAAAGAAGGAGTTTATATTACTTAGGAAGAACAGATGAAAGCAGAGCAGTTTTGGCAGAAGAATGGTCAAGACAGTTTGTTTCCAATGTAGGTGATCTGGGAAAGGTAGAAAACAAGTGAATTCAAGGTCAAGTTGAACATCTGAGTTCTGAAGATTTGAGGTGAAGTTCAGATTTAAATTGAGGAGGTAGAGAGCAGGTGGCAATGTGGATATAATATCTTGTGGATATAATATATGAAGGAAGTTCTACAGAACAAGAAGATCACAAGCCAAGAGAGACAAACCGAGAAAAGGAGAAAAACAGTGAAGAGTAATATAGATTGAGTATATTCTGCATAGAAGAGATATTCAAGGATGAATTCAAAAAGAAGTAGCTAGAGACATTTTTAAAAGATCCCAGGATGCTTGGGGACACCTTTAGTAGAAAAATCTAGAATTTCTATTGTCTGTCACAATATCCATCTCCTACTCCTGGGGGAATTCTGCACGACTGCACGTGCGCAGAATTAATCTCTTACCCCCCTGCAATTTCTTTGCTTACCCACAGAAAAATGACTTTCTGATGGGAAAGCAAAAGGAAGCCACAAGAGCAGTCACACGCACCTCCCCGGCAGTGTGGGTGTGTTGTTTCAGGCACTTGGAGGAGCTATTGGAGAGGTAAATCACCGTGGGTTGGGGTGGGTTGGGGACACTGTGGCCGGTGCTTCCTACCCTGCAGTGGGCTCGACTGCTAGTCCTGGCTGGGCAGGGGAGGATGGGTCTTCTTCCTCTGCAGGGAGTGGTTGCGGCTGGGGCCAGATTAGACCCACACCTAGAAACCTCCCCTGACTGCAGGAAG